CCCTCCCGCGCCCACGGAGGCGTGGCCCTGGTGGGGGACCCTGGGCTCCCTGTCTGCCACTGCCCCACGCCCCTCGCCGCCTCGGACGACTCAGGCCTGGACCTCTGAGGTCTAGCTGGCCAGTGGGGCCCTGGGTATGAAAGACAGTCAGACCCTGGGCATAGGGACGCAGGCGGCCTTCCTGGAGGAAGCTGTACCTGGTTTAGTCTTGGAGTGGGGAGTGGCGAGAACCCGAGGGCTTCTGGCAACTGAACGTGGTCTAAGGAATGAAACTTCAGGGGCCTGGGGTCCAGCTGGAAATCAAGTGCACGGACCAGGGGCTGCCCCTGCTATGGGCTCAGCAACCTTCCCTACTCCCCATGAGCATGCCCATCTGTGGGAATCACCTCCTGGCTGACAACCTCAGCTTGTCCCATCTAGGGATGAAAGGGCCCAATCCTCAGGACAGGCCCGAATGACCCCTTGAAACCACAGTGGAAGTGATCTCTACCGGAATACCGTCTCGTGTTCAGGCAAAGGATGGTGTTACTGCTTTTGGGAAGCCCCTGGCCACACCCACCTGGACACCAGGCATCTGAAGACCCTCTGGGCTGCCTGGGTGGCACAGTTTTCCCCGTGCACCAGGGCAGCATCCACCGCCAGTGTCCAGAGTGGGGGATCCTACCAAGATGAGACCTAAACCAAGTGCAGCGGACAGTCCTGTGTGCCTGCATGGGCTGGCAGGGCAGCCTTTGCCCCTCCAAGGCCTGGCTCCTCCCCTTAAACTATCTTCACACCCCAGGCCCTGGAGCTGCACAAGTTAAGCCTAGGGGAACAATTGGGCTCATCCTCTAAGCGGTGAAAGCATTTTGTGAAAAAGACTCCTATAAAGCACCTGGACTGGTGAGTGGGAAGCCCTGGCTGGCTGTAGGTGGAGTGTAGACTCTGGGCTGGATGGGTCCCTCTGTGCATTATGGGGTCTGGAGGGACAGCTCCTGCCCAGTGACCCCGGTAGGAAGTAGGCTGCATGCAGTGGAAACCTCACGCAGGGCTGTTGGTGATCCAGCCGCCCTAAGCCATGGCAGGCTTTGCCCAGCTGGCAGTCCTCAGCTCCATTCCAGCAGCTGGGCTCAATCCCTGCTGCCTTTGCCCACACCCCTGCCTATGCCCCTGCTTAGCTGGCTCACAAACAGGGAAAAGGATCTTGATTTACTCCATACCGTCTGCCCTTCATGGCTTTCAGGCACGGCCAGCTGTACCTGTCTGTATGCACCTGTCCTTTCTGCACTTGCAGAGGGCATGGTTTGAGACCTGGATCCTGTACCTTCATCTCTGCTGTGAGGCTGGAGCCCCATACGGGTAGACAATGCCTCCCTGAACAATAGGCTTTTAGGGACCAAAGTTCTACAGTCCACCCTGAACTCCCTTTCAAATCTGCTTCCTGTCTCTCAAATTGGTTAGGGCTGAGCTAGGAGTAAGATGCTAGGACTACTTTCCTCACAACATAGATGTCTTGGGGACTGGCTCCCCAGGCGAAAGCCTCTGAATGCAAGGGCACCACTTGCCTTCATTCATGTGATTAGCTGGTGTCAGACCTGGGATTTAGCCACCCCTGGACCTGTCCTGCCCAGGGTGACCAACCTTCAGGAGGCTGGCACAGGGAAACAACATAGGTCCCAGTGGTTCCTTCCCCCTGGTAAGAAATAGCCATGTCAGCTGGGACTAAGACTGGAGACAGATTCCAAAGGATCTTGGCTCACTGTTTCTGCACATCTGGAGCCACAAGTTCTGGCTCCCCAGGGGCCCTAGAGAGCCTGCAGCTGTTGGCTGGCCAGGCTCCTTGCCAGGTGGCAGGACAGATGTGTGGGCTGCAGACCAGCTCGAGTCAGGAACATTCCCCCAGCCACCATCTCCTAGTGTGCTTCCTGGAGGGCCCCTTCTCACTCTGGGGCTGTGTGTGTGTGTGTGTGTGTGTGTGTGTGTGTGTGTGTGTGTGT